GCTCTCTAAACTCAGAAAAAAAAATTAGTGTGAAAAACAGAAAAAAAAAATTATTCAGAAAATCTGAAACAAATTACTCTGAAAAACCAACCATAAAAATAAATTAGGCTACTGAGAAAAACAGAAAAAAAACTACTCAGAAAAACAGAAAAAAAATTACTCAGAAAAACACAAATAATTAGTAAAACAAACCAAAAAATAAATTTTGTGAAAAGTGAATACAATACGCTTCCGTACAGAATAATAACTAGTTCAGCTTGAACATATTTTTCAGCCCATGAATTGTTAGAACAACACAGTTAAGTAAATGCACTAACAGTGATACGTCATAAAACACATAGATGGTGCAGTACCGCTGCTGCCAACAGGGGGCGGTGGGGGCGTTAGGTCGCCGGAAATACGCACCGGTCTCCTACCAACGAAGAAGAAAAAGTAAATGTGCAACATGGCGACTCCCATGCACAGAATAATAGCCAGGAGACAAGCGTGAGTTTAATTGAAATAACTCTGCAAATGTGTGCCGCTTTCATTGTTGTGTGAACACAGTTGTCTTGTAAATAGGAGTAGCATTGAATTCGTCGACCTTCGTGGTGTAAACAGGAGGTAAATGAGGAACCCTGCAGCGCTTAATGGGAGCACAAACGCGCCGCGGTCTTTCTCTAACTTAAATACTAAAAATATATATAATAAATTATTATTCGGACTGTTTTCTCTTCCTTAAACGTCCAGTTAGTCTTTGAACTCGTGGCTGATGTGTTTTAATACGCGAATAACCGATGAGGGTTCAGTTTATTCCACGTTTTAATGTGAGATATATCAGCTAACTGACTCAAAAACCGTGTGCTGACTGAAATATTAGATGTTTTAATGTTTCTCTTGAGTCAGCTGAGTCATATAGAGGAAAAGACCCCGATACTATTGCTTCCATATCAATGTATTGGCTGTTACAGTATCATTAAGATCTGCTGTGTCACTGGTGTTCTTCACATTCCCTCTCTAGAAAAAGAGACGGACAGGTAACTCATGTTGGGCTGCTTTATTATTCAGTCATTTGGCTTTTTACAAATGCATTTAGACTCACATACAGCACTATGAAGTCTGTATGTATCTGTAGAGTCTGAGTCTGTGGGGCAGTCATGAGAAGGATTTCCATATTGCTGCAGAAATAAACAGTCCTGTCCTTTATTTTCATATTGAATGTTAAAAGAAATGTATTAGTCGCTTTATTCGACCTTTTTTACTACATAACATTATATTTTAGTTTACTTCCAGGACACAGTGGCTCAAAATGATCAACGTGGAAACTATTAGAACTGCAGAGCTATCCTAACTTTTAACTTTTAATTACATTTATTTAATCAGGTAATCTCATTTACAAGAGAGACCTGAATACATATAGTATACATAAGAGCGCCAGTCACAGAGAAGCACGTACAGACTTCATCACAGACATCCTTAAACAGTTAACGTTCAGTTTTAATTCATCTCTCTCAGCACATGGAAAAAGACAGGACAGGTTTGAGGAGGTTGTGCTTAGATTGCATCCCGTCTTCAGTCAAAGTCTGTTTCTTTTTAACATGTTGTTTCCAGAACTATAACCACGAGTCCCTGACTTTATGGACATACTGCAGTGGAAATGTTGACTGCATGTTCGATTTAAAATATTAGCTAACTTGTTCAAACCTAAAACAGTTTCGCCAGCAAACACAGCTGCACTTTAGAGAAAAGTAGTTCTTGACAATTAAGATTCAACTGACTAACAAGATCATTTACAGTGATTTTTTTATTTTTTTATTCGCTGTTGTAGTGACTGTCGTTGTTTATCCTCATTCAGATTTGTCTTGTTTATTACACACAGGGAGGCAAACAAACAACATGTGCGATGCCAGAAGTGCTTGGAGATGGGACACTGGACGTACGAGTGCACGGGGAAGCGGAAGTATGTGCACAGACCATCGAGAACAGTTGAGATGAAAAAGAAACTCAAGGAGAATGAAAACAAACCCCTCAGCATCACCGGGTGAGGCGTCTCCATCAGTTCACCAATATATAACTAATATGATACAGTTTATTTACAGCTTCGGGATGCGTGAAATGTTCATCGGAGCTCTCCAAACATCTCTTGCAGCATAATTTAAGTCGTTTGTAGGAAAAAGGGCACATTGTGGGGTTAATAGTCAAATATTTATATTGTTTTATATTTGTCTCTCACTGCCAATGCTGTGGTTGCATCTACTCCAAAAAATATCAAGCTAACCAATGGGTGTACAGACAATGAGTTTTGTTTTAGGGTAGAGTAATCACAGAGTCTGAAACCTCTAAATAGGGAGAGACGCTTGTGTTCTCACTTTGTGGCTTCACGTCTGCTCCTCTAATGGTCTGGATTGAGGTGGGTGACCAGACTGAAGCTGTCTTAGTCAGGGAAATTGAGAGAAACAGCGAGTGTGTCAAACTAAGCTTATATGTGATGTTGTAAGACACTGTTTGCCACGAGGCAGCAAAAAAACACTAGATAATTTAGTGTGTGGATTAAACTGAGCCACTTTTATACTCTCATTACGAAATGGACACACGTAAAGAAGCCTATACTGTGAAACTGTCACTGTACATAACCTGACCCATTTATCGCCATCTAGAGGACGTCTTGATAAATACAGCATATTGTTATTTTTTTTTTACTAGGTTTCAAACAAGCAGCAAGTGCAGTATGCCTTCCATTTCTCATGGAAAAATATGCTTTTAGCTGATTTGATCTGACAGATGACCAATCTTTAGGCTTACAACACATCTATCACATAATACTTCATTAGTTGGGAGTAATGGCCCAACTGAGGCTCAGCTTATTGTCAAATAAGTTTCACTAAGGCTGTTGCTTTTTTCTCTCTACAGACCAGGAAGAGAAGGCTCCAGTGAGAAGAAAATTAAAAAGAAGTAAGTAAAATAAATATCAAAATATCAAACTATATTTTGAGAGTATTGGCTGCATCCTCCTCAGTGTTTTGACGTGGAATAATTACTAAAGGTACTTTATGTACCAAAAAAACTTAAAGGTCCCCAGTGTGTAAAATTTAGGAGGTTCTATTGGCAGAAATTGATAATATTCATAGTTATGTTTTCATTAGTGTATAATCACCTGAATATAGGAATCTTTGTTTTTGTTACCTTAGAATGAGCCGTTTTTATCTACAGATGCCGCGAGTTGCCTTCTAGTTTCTCCTGTGGTCTGCAATTACACTGCTAGATGCCACTAAATCCTACATGCTGGCCCTATAAACAATAGACCAGCAGTTCTTTTCCCCCGTTTGGCCAAATTATAGTTTTATTAAGTTAAATTCTTGGTGACATTACATTTTAGTTTGTATAAAATGTCTTCATTTTGAACTGACTTTATTTTAGTCACAGTTACACATGTTTATCAGCTAGTAAGTTGTACTAGTACTGATAGTGTGTCTTGAAGATGTTACAGTAGTCATCAAAAAGGCTTCTTTGGTTCTGCTGACTGGTGTGATGTCTCTTAGCATTTCAATTTGTTTGGGTCATTCACACCTCTTCACCCCAGGGCAATAAGGTCACATGGGAGTCATGTGAGAGTCATGTGAGAGTGGTCATCACGTGGATTTAAGTTTTAATTGGTGTGGAAATTTGCAGTGGAAGGGATGTCATGATGTTTATGGATAGTAGACGACTTCCATTGTAGTATTACTGTGGCACTCTTGACTATAGAGTCTTATTTGAGCAGCATTGACCGTAGTGTGACGTAACAGCTCCCTCTAGTGACGACTGTGAGCCACTACGGTTAAAAACTGCTTAAGCTTTTATCTTATAGACCAGCAGTAATAAAGGCTTTCATATGTCGAAAGATTTTACGATTTTTACCATATTGCAGTGGTGACGGATTCTAATCCACTTCTTTCCATGTCTGCTTCTTCATATGATCGTGTGGCTGTACTGATACTGTTTGTATTTGTTTCTAAAGGTCATTATGTGCTGAAAAACCTGCTACAATATGCTTTTAATTTTATGTGCCGTGCCTTTTCAAATTGTAATTTATTGTTCAGTCCCATCTAAAAAACCTTTTGGCAATAGACCTTTTTCACTGCAGACAGTCTGACTTGTCCCAGCAGGAAAAGCCTGGGTGTTACTAATAACATTAAAGTGTCCCATGACAGTGTAGCCGGTTAGCATCTGAGCGCCCCGTGAATCACGTTTCTTTTTTTCTTTTTTTTCCCAGCATAAATTGTTTGACTTGACGTTGCAGGAAAAGCACAGGTGGAACGAATAAGCTTAACGATGGCCGTTATTGCAGTGCTATGCAGCAATTAATAACGTTATTAGCAACACCTGCGTTTGCCAAGTCAAAATGTCTGCTGTGACAAAAGCTCTGTTCAGCTTTAGTTTCACTCCCCCCCCTTCTACTCCTCTCACCTCCAGTCTGGAAGCCACTTACCTGCGTAGTCATTATAACTCTTGTGTCGTGCAAAGTCTGGTTGTGGGAGGGGCAGGTGCTCATCAGTCAAGAGATAGCAAATGGTTTCTTATACTACATGGTGCAGGTAATGTTCCCAGTTTGCCACTGTTTTTCTCAGTTTAAGTAAAACCACCAAACAAAAAACATGGCATCGTAGACTTTGTCATTTCACTTTTAAAATTAGGCGAGCACAGCATGTCACTGTGAAGAAGGTTACAAAAAACAAACCACTTCACAATCACAGCACATCCCTTTCTTCTCATCTCTTCTCCTCTGTGAAGTGACAGTACAAAAACCAGACTGTAACAGGTACAGCGTGAGACCTTAATAACAATACACGCTGTTCTGTTGTTCTGCGCTCATGTTTTTTCCTTTTGTGCTCCGCCTCTTGCACTCAGGGCTAAAGACTCCAGCGACAGCAGCAGTGATTCAGACGGCTCCTCCAGTGACTCATCATCAGACAGCAGCGACTCCTCCAGCTCCTCTTCAGATGACAGCGACAGCAGCAGTGACAGCGACGATGACAGCTCTTCCTCCTCCACCTCTTCCTCCTCTTCTTCGTCCTCAGACAGCTCAGACTCAGGGAGCAGCAGCGATTCAGATCAAGGACCTCCAAAGAAGAAGAAAAAGAAGAAATAAATAAATATGTTCGTTATTAGTGGGTTTTGTTGTTTGTTTCCCGGAGTAATTTTAGCAGTACACACTTTTTTTCCTCCCTGTTATCCGTCATGGTTGGTTGGGTTTGAATGGATAGGACACCTTTAGGGTTGTATGTCCTACAGTCGCATACTGCTCGAATAGTTTTAGCAAAAATGGAGATCAAAAAGAAAATATTGTTTTGGGTTGCCCATTGTGTCATGTTCTTTTTTCAAAACTTATTTCCCCTGTTGCTTCTGTTAATGTGATATTTTCTCAAGTTTGTAGGCCTACTGGGGATATAAATTTTAAATATCTGAGGAAACTAATGTGCATATTTATGTCCAGTTGGTGATTTTTGTACTAAAGTATATTTTTAGTCAAAGTTAATCTGTACAGCTCACAACCTTAATAAAGCAAACGCCATATATTGAAAAGACACTGATACGAGACCCTTTAAAGGATACTGAATAAAAGTTCTGTTTGTCAAATTTTAACTTTGTTTGAAGTTAGACAGTTTTGTTGCTATTGCAGTTGCTTGTTTCCCTGTAAAATAAACTTGGCTTGTTTTTATTTTTAAGGCTCTTGCATATTCGCTTTTTTGTTTAATAGAAACCTTATGACTTTACATTCATGAATTTGAGAATACAATTGTAATAAATAGGCTTTCAAATAAGTTAACACATCAGATATTTTTACAGTGCCAGTGCCGGGCAGTATTGGTTGACATGCTGTTGTCTCCTTGGATAGCAGAGTTAAGGTGTTAAATTTTGCAATTGTTTAATATGTTGCCTCTTGGACTACAAGACCCTGGAGGAGGATGATGAATTTGGTTGTAGAAGACCACAAAGCTGCCCATAATGCCACAGCTTAGTTATTGAAATGTGGCACAAATCTATATTTCTGAATGTGTTTGATGAAACTAATCTTTTTTGGGAATAATTTATTGCTTTTTGTCAGGGCAGTTATTTTTTATTTTATATATTTTTCCAAATAATAGACCAATCCAATCAGCCAGTCTCAAAAAGTTAGTTTTAACATTTATAAAAACCTACAAAGTGTGCATGAAAGCTACAAACAAGCAGGTCTCTAGCTTCTTATACAAGCACTTTAAGAACTTCTGGATGAACTCATACATTTTAATGACTGAACATTAAAGCACACAAAATGTCTGAAGTTGATAGCAGAAAAAAAAAAAGATCCATTAACAGATCAGAGAAAAAATACATTACAGGTGTGTAACTAACTACAGTAAATGTGTATGTATCTATCAACCTAAAAGACGTGTGACAACTGAATTTAGTAGTCCAGTTGTATATTTAAAATAAGATATTAATCAACATTGGGGAACAATGAAACGCTCTCCGTGATATCCGTCCTGAACGTCAAGTCTGACCAACCTGTGCGTCACAGGAATGTTGCATTCACTGCATGTGGTAATTGTCACCATCAATAATAAATGGCCGCGCTTGTGACTGTGAAACTGTCCAGTCAACATTTAAATGGTTCACCCCGACTTCCGTGTCGGTGATCGGTAAGCAGTCAAAAATAACTCTCAACTCGTGTACACCACCTGAATAGTAGAGTCAGGTGGTATTTTTAAACCCTCCCCCTCCCTCCAAAAAAAAAAGCATCTAATTGTGTCACGTTCACAGAAAATCAACTTCCCTATAATGTTTACTTGGTTATGAGGTTGGTTTGAGATATTTCCGACGGGCAGTGAAGGCGGCACCGCTTGCTGCCATCCATGCATCCAGTCCTGTCTGTGGTACCTGCTGGCTACTTAACTTAGCTACAGCCTTACCTATCAGTCACTTCTGTTCAGGGAAAACAAAAAAATGAACGAGGGACGAAATGATTTTGTGTTGTTCTCCGATCGACGCGCAGCTGCGGTGTGAGAAAAAGATGGAGAGCGTCCATTTGGTGTTAGTATTTTAGCTGTTAAAGCGTTTTTGCTGAGTCCATTTTGCGTGTTAACTGGAAGTGGAAAAGACAAAGAGAAAAAAAAAAAAGAGCTTTCCAATAGCTAGAATGGTTTGGGCCTAAAAAGAAGACAAGAGGTAAGGATGCTAAATACCCCAGACTGTGTTGTTTGATTATTAACTGTACTCAGCGGTTATCTAATAGTTGGAGGGGATGTTAATTTAAATCTCCGCAGAACATTTCAGTGCTTTCATAGCTAACTAGCCGCTAACCTAGCCCTGTGACCAGCTAACGTTGTGCTAAAGCGAAAAATATGCAGGTAGTGCTCGTAAGGTAGCGTGTTAGCCCCTCTGGCTACAATTGTGGAGCTTGTATGTTACTTTTGAGCTCTGCTGACGGCAAACACTGGTTGTTATAATTACAATAAAGCTCAATTGTGTTGTTGTGCGTTGCGAGCTTCCCCGTACTCGAGGAGCGAGACGGACACCGTAGATACAGTGGTCGTGTTTTGCTTCGTGTAATGTTGGCTAACAGGTCATGATGTTTGTGTTTCTCTGTTGAGCCTTCGCCGATTTAACTTAACACAGCTCAAGTTGGCGTATTGTTACTGATGTTACGCTCTCGACAAGGGCGTTTTTGTTTTACGCGTTCACGTTAGGTGCAAGATGAGACAACAAGGAGCTGCGCGCAGTTTGTTTATCATGCGAGTGAGTGCTGTCCAGTCAGAATTGGGTGAATTAAAAGTCTAGGTGAACTCGTACAGCTGCACGATTCAAATGCGAGCAATAATTATGTCACTTGCTGGCAGTTTCTGTACCGAAAACACCAGAGAAATGCCACTAATCCGAGGCCCATAACAGTCGTCGGTTTTCTCACGGTGACAAGCAAAAACTTTTGGGGTTGTTGTGTTCGTACGCTCGCCTCTCTTCACCGTGAGGTTATCCTCGTTTTACGGTACCAGACTGCCTCTCGGTGCCACTTTTAAGTTGTCTTCAGTCCAAATCCCCAAATGACCCAGAAGGACTATTGCGTAGAAAAGCAGGAATAGTCAGTGTGTCTACCAAAAAGGACAGCTGATATGCTTTTCTAGGAAGCCATTTTACGTGCCACGGTTGGGGGAAGGGCCAGAAAATGCATCATAAGTCCAGAGTAACTCTCAGCAGTTGGGGAATATCACCGGTACTTGTGTATTTATAACTAGCAGGATACACTTGGCACATGGAGACCAGGGCAGAGCTATCAAATAGTTTTTTACTTGGGTGACAGATCGTGGTGGGGGAGGCCTAAGGTCATGAACTCATTTATGGCAGGTAGCTGTGAAACTGGCACAACATCTGTAGACAGGCGATGGATGTTTTGGGCTTTTGGTTTGTGGGTGCAGTTGTTTATTGAGTAGACTGCGCGTGGAAGTGTTTTTATCTTCGTGCTGACATTGGGGAGCCGGGTTTCTGGTGATTACTCTGTGTGTAAGAGAGTCTGAACTCAGTGTGGAGTTATAGTAGTTTTAGTTTCTAAGTAACGAGACTTGAACCGTTCCTTCCTCTATGCCTCTATGACTCCTTGTCGCAAGTTTCCAGCAGCGTAGACGCACGAGTTTGGCGTTTCACAATGTCAGAAACTGTCGGGAATATCAGCTGGCATTGATAAAGGGAATTGATAAGTTTGAAGGGATACAATCCCAATGGATGGAACGATTTGGAACCAGATTCCCGGTTCCCCTCCCTGGACGATGTTGCTTTCCTCTTTAACTAAGACAAACATCTCCCTGCTCCATTAGACAATGACACTAGCCACAGTATTTACCAGATGAAGGTATTACTCTCTAAAAGAATGTAAGAATCATTTCCAGAAGCTCTAAAGAAGCACAGTGAATAAGTAGAGTACTCCAACGTACATTATTAAAGCACATGGAAACAACTTAACAGCACTACAGTAAACTTCTTGGGTGGAGTTTCTCTCCCCCCAACATTTGACGCCAAAGGCAAACTGTTTGACGATAGATAGCGTTTGAATCTTCTCCCGTGTGTGGCGGTACGAAGAGCAGTAATGCAATCGCTGAACCTGAATATAAAGTGTACCATGACAGCAATGTGTCCGAAACTTTAATATACATTCTGCAGGGAGACCGATGCCGATGTGGGGAGAGCTGTGAACAAAAATCCATAACCTAATAGTATTCACCCTGGTGTTGAGTAATAAAAGAGAAGATGCCACGTGTTATTGTAAGTTGTTAAAGCAATAGCTCGCCATGTTGCACACTCCCTGTTTGGTCTCCTCTTCTTTTAAAGTGAAGATGTTGAACAGTGTTGGGTGGAAGCATGTCACTGGTTGTGGTAGTTTTGGTTTATAGGATTAGCACAGGAGCAAATAAGGAAATCTTAAGCAGACAGGCGTACGAGACAAGAGCAAAGTATTAAGGCTCTCCTAATGTCATTATTCTTTTGAATTGTGGGAAGATTAATGGAGCCGGTCTTTTAAACAAACTAAAATAGTTTTATTGTTCATAATAAAAGCTCACATCCAGTCTAACGCAGACCGAGCCAGCGCGGTCAGTGTGTCACGGCAGATAAAGGTTCGTGCTTGCACTCCCTGTGACGCAGCTCGCTGTGAAATCCTCTTCACTTCCTGTTTAGGTTTTGCTCTGTGGCTTTAGTATAACTGTTTCCTCTGTCGCCAAGCAAAGGGCACATGTTCTGCTGAGATGTTATGGTCACTTGTTTTGTCCGTTCCAGACAGAGGAGTGGGTGCACGTTTCCTTTGGCTTTGACACATCCATTGTACATTGCGGTGGTAGTACAGTGCGGTTTTGCAGGCTGGGTATTTTGGTAAATGAGCACTACCTAGCTTCAGGCTCTTCAACAACAACAAGTAATTGTGCATGATTGTAGGGCTGCCCTCTGAAAACTGAGTAGTCCTTGTCTGAAAAAACCAAAATGCTTTACAGTCCTCCTTTTATCTTGCCTTATCGGCATCATCTCCGTTTGCCGGGTGAATTGGATTTAATAGGCGAACTCTCGAAGGTATCGTGGCAGTCAACTACTTTGTTTATTGTACTTATTTACTGCAGATTTTTTTTCTCTGTTATGCTTTAAACCCTACCCAAAGTTAGAGCTAATTGTGTCTTCAGCTAAGGCCTTTAAGTTTATAATCAGATCCAATTTCTTTTACAAAGAGAAGCTTGTCGAAAGTAAGTTGTTTGAAGGCTCTTCCACAGTCTGCCAGTTTAATTAGCTCGAATCTAATCAGACATCAGCAGCTCTTTTTTTATCCCTCTGTACTGTTGCTCACACAGCAGAAAAATATGCTACTCACTGTGTCCTGACCTCATGCATCTGTTCCTCAGCGTTTGTTCTCTAGGATGTGAGTTTAAGCTCTCGTGTCGGTATATAGTACGGCGGAGGTGAAGCTCATTAAGGTCATTTCATCTCACAGATCCGGCGTACGTCCGAGGTCTGAGATTTTCGCTCTATAATATCGGCCTGGAAGCGAGAACGCCAGTCGTAGTCTATCGCAGCGGTAATGCTTATGATGAACAGCAACGAAGTTCATTGGCGTAACATTTTTCAGAAGAGGGTTAGTGCTTTGCAGGCAATAAAAATGGATCAGCGACATAAACGGTGAAAATCTTACATAGTCAGATGGACCCAGGAGAGTTAAATGAGAAGTATATCCTCTGTTATGTTTTGTAATACACAGAAAGAAACTAATATTGAGCTATATTAAGTAGAGTCAGCATTACAGAGACACAAATTCTGTAATGCAAACTATTACATTTTCCATCAAATGGCGTCTTCATTCACGTTTGGCCACAGCATGTATCAAAGTGCCTGCTCTCGGGGGGGGGGTTTATTTAGAGGTTCAGAGTAGTAAGCTATAGGTTAGCACGTTTCTATTTGTAGTCAGGCAGATATTCCAGTGTCAAATTAAGCTCCGACTGCTCTCTGAGTAATACGATTGTGACTGACACATGGGGAAACTATTCCATAAAGCAGGCATTCCTATGACTCCTCAGTAAGGTTGGGCTCATTTTTGACTTTCGTTGTTGTCACGTGTAAGAAATAGGAATGACTGCGTGTTGGTGCTGTAAAAGTAGCATGATGCCCTCATTTTAATCTGCTTGGGTCATGTTTCAGCAGGGTCATTGGAGTTTCTAAAGGCTAAAATTACCTTGACTAAAGAACGGTTGATTCATGTTTTGGGCAAGTAATAGCCTATTATGTCGATTGTTTGTTTTCATTTAAAGGCTTTGGTAGTTGAGATATTTTAGCTTGCACAAATACGTTTGAAGAATTCCGCGTAGTTTGTCCCAAATATTCACTTGTAAGGCTTGTTTTACTCAAGTTTGGACTACTTCACTGTTCACGATGAGAACTAAACATTGTGTGTGTGCTGAACATGCTGAGTTTAAACCATAGTTTTATCATACACGATTGGACTATATATTGAATTCATATTGACACTATTCACCCAAGGAGAGTAAGTGTAAACTGTTCTTCTTACCATAGTTCAGATACGGGGAAAGAGGGACATGTAAAAAAAAAAAAAAAAGCTAGACTTTTTGGCTTGCACATTGAAGAGTTTGAATGACGCAGGTTTTTTGGGAACGTTGTCAAGATAATTGAGGGTTGTGTGTCATGTTCCACTAACAATGTGGCAGAAAAAAAAAGTACCCAGCGTGTTATTTGTGCCAAACCTGCTAGTGAAAGCGCTTTTCTTACTGAGCTCATCTGACATTATTGTTCAATTCTAAAGCCACGACTTCCCAGGTGTGTACACTTTAACTATGTGTGCTATAGACTTTAACACACACACTCAGGCTGTTTTGAGAGACCTTTTAATGTCTGAGGAATTAATCTAAACGCAAAAACCATTGTACAACACCTGTTAAACACTTTTGTATCAGCCTAAAAGTTTGAGAAAGTTGCTGCTTAAAGTTTTTTTTCTCCTGTCCTAAAGTAATATAGTGCAGTTTTCAGAATACACAGTTAGATATTGGCATCAGAGTTTGGTGTCCACTGAGAACAATACATCCCGCCCTTTCAGTAAAGTTGCTGGATGTCAGATACATAAAAAAAAAAAGTCTCTTGAACCGAAATGTCATTAACTTGTATTTAATTGCAACAGTCACAACACTGGGACCCGGTGCGAACAGCTCCCTCTGATTCGGATAATGCACGCCTGCTGAGTGGATGCATTCCAGGCTGTGAGTCAGTTCAAATGCTTCAGACCTGCCTGAATGAAAGGATATAAGCAGTTGTTTGGAGAACATGCCAATCAAGATTTAGAGGCTTGTTTTGATATGTTAATTTGAGCTAATCAGAAGCCACGGAGACATTTTGAAGGGTTTTTTTGTTTTTTTGAAGCAGCAGCTAAAGAAGTCTTTGTGCTTAGACTTAATCCTAATTTTGACATTGTCTTGCTCAACCATCATCGTCAGTCATCAATCTTACTTTGACATAAAAGGCTCAAAGAAAATGAGGCTTATTCATTAACCCTATTATAGTGTGAATGAGATAATGTGTCTGCCGTACAGGAATATATATTTGCACTGGCACAAGATCGAGTATATATCTCTGTTTGTGTTTTCTTGGCTAACCTTATTTGATTTTTAAGAGAGTCTTGATTTAGTCAAGTCACTGCATTTTCAAAAATCATTATTTATTTTGCTCAAATTCTGATATAGTCCTCGTCTTAATGGCACGTGGTTGCGACAGCAGTCGTCCCCAAACAGCTGCTTATATGAGGCAGGTTTGCAGCATTTGAATGGACACTCCCTCTGGAATGGCTGCTGTCAGCAGGTTTGCCTCAAAAGCACCAGGGGAGGTGGCACTGCCTGCCCATCTGTACCCATTACTGAGAACTTAACTGCAGGAAACATTTATGTTGGGGGATAGTTTGACAGTTTTTCTTTTTTTATATATAAACATAATTGACCAAACGTGATGCTATATGTATTACTTAACCTCCATTACACAAATGAAAATGACATGGTGTGAGTTGTTAATGCAAAATTTGGACCATTTGTGATCATCATACTCGGCACAGAGTGTAAAAACGTTTCGTACCAATTAAACGGTATCGCACAGCTTTGTAGGTGCTCAGTTACATTTTCTCCTCTACAAGCTTTGTTATTGATTAAATCAACCAAGGATAGTGGTCTACTTCTATTTATACAACTAAATGACATATATAATTAATGTGCTGAATATGACTACTCCCTGCAAATACAAACTTAGAGGGGGAAAGAGATTAGAAAAAGTTGTAAATTATTCAAAACATTACAGTATTTCCAAAAGCATCAGCCCTGATCTTAAAGACGTGAAGCCCTTCCCAATGTGCAGTCGTAAAGTTTCCGTTGATGATTATGTCTAAAGACAAAAAATTCAAAATGTCACAATAAAGTGATTGTGAACTGAGTCAAAGGGAGTTTCCTGGGTTTGGACTTTTGTAGGATTATTTTTTGTCTTAAATGACACCATAATTAAATATAACTGTAAAGTTATTGTAAAATGATTCAGCAACATCATTATGTGTGTTCCCCACAGTGAAATATTTGAAACAAACAAAGATGTCTTGTGAAACAATAATAATCTTTACAATTTTTCTTTATTTAGCTCTTCATTGCAGCAAAACTCCTTAGTGATCAAATAAAGAAAACCTTGATAATTCAAAGCAAGTGCAAGAGGGACAAATCTAGAAAAGCAAGATATTGAGGTGAAAAAATCAGAAGAAAGTAAGAGTCAGTTTTTATTCTTATAGCCCAAAATTTAAAAAATGTACATTTACATTTGCCTTGACAGCTTTAACAAAAACACCCACAATCCTTAAAGCTTCAATTTGAAAAAAAAAACCTTCCAGGACTGACAGACAGAACAACCTGAAATGTGAATAAGAATTTAATAGATATAGATAAGAAGAAGTAGAAATACTAAACTTACAATGTGGAAAAACTGTGACAACTTTATGTAAATTAAAAACAAACAAACAATAATACAATATATAAAAGTGTAAAAGATGTTCAGCTACAAATCAGGACTTTGAAAAGAGCTTTGAATGATCTGGATCTGTGCACCATGTCCGTATCAAGGAGTCGGATCTGGAAGTGTGCCTTTCGAAGCAATCAGATCTTAAAATCAGCTGTAAACAGAACAGGAAACCGGTACAGAGACAGATACCAGCAGTAAAATGGCACAATGTCGGCAAATTTTTGGCACTAGATTAAAAAACCTTCTATGCGATGTGTGATGATAACACATTTACCAGCATGTGTCATCACCATCATCATCATCGTCGTACGCAGATGATGAAAACACACCCGTTTGTTACAACCTGCAGCCAGCCGGAAACTGCGCACTGTCCCTTTAACAAGCTGCACGGGTGCTGTGACCTGTGCTCCGGGCATAGTGGGGGGGGGAGGGAGGGAGGGTT